TGTTTATATGGAGTATAATGCCTTTCGGCTGACCGAATACTTTGCTCTTGAAATGCTTGATATTATTAAACACCGTTCCTAATAGCTTCTCCAATGTAAAAGGAACCATTTTGAATTTTGAAAATTGTTGATATGAATAGTATAAATATAATTTTATTTCTCATGCGCAATTCAATAGAAAAAAGATATTTTAACAATTTATTTATATTTTAATATATATAATATTAATACTTCTAGCTTTTTTTTTTTGAGAAAAGTCATTGAGAGAAATTGTGGAGTTCAAATAATAAATCTTTAAGTAATTTATTTTATGCTTTAGTTTTTTTTTCATAGAGAGGATTTTGGCTTTTCATTTGGCTATCAGGAGAGAAAAGGTAAATTGTTTGTTTGTTTTTTTGTTTTTTTTTTGTCTGTTTTGGGCTCTCCAATATGTTGTTTGTTTGTTTTTTTGTTTTTTTTTTCTCTGTTTTGGGCTCTCCAATACGATGATGAAAACCTGAAACGCAGTTAGAACGCACTCACGAGCACAGCTGTGCGTATAGTTGGATGGCTTGGTATGTAGGTTTAGGAATTTCAACAGATATGAGGTAACATTCATGCTTGCTGTTGCAAAATTTGACAAGTGACAAGTCCTGTAGGTACTGAGCATGAGAGATAGTGCAATAAGGAAGCTAAAATGTACTTGACATCCCACAGAAAATGTTCAATCTCCTACCGCTTTGCGTCTACGTGGTTAATTGCAGATAATTGGGCTATGCCTGAAGATATCACGGGGGTGAGATGCTTCCTCTCAGGATATTGGCAAAAACTTTAGACTCGACATTTTTGGACATGATACCACAATTCAGTGATCAGTCCAATGATATGTATTCTCGTGTAGTAATATCTGACCATTTGCGTCCCTGAAAACAAATATTGACCTCACAGTTTTGGAAATCAAATCCCCGTCTAAAGGGTTCTAGCAGCATGTGAGATTGAGACGCGTGAGATGGATCTAGGTTCAAAGAACTTTGCACGAAAAGGAATAATCATTTTGGAAAGTTTATTCCAACATGATGTGCTGAAAATTCCTTCTAAAGTTGGTTCTAAATGTGCCTAGCTTAGGGCATCACGAGCCGCTCAAAGTTGCTCTTTTTTTGCCCTTGTCTTGTATCGATTTTCTCACAGATCTTTTCAACTTTTCTTTCAAAGGAGGATAGCCGAAAGTGTGAAAATGAGCTAATAGGTAACGATCATAAACGTATACTTTTTTTCTTGTAGCGCCTTGATAGTATTATTATACAAAGTTACTACCCAGAGCCATTTGCTCTCCTGCGAGGTTGGATTTTGGGAGCTTCTTAGTTTGATTTATGGATACACATGCTCTTGTTGGGAATCCAAATCAGGACTGTAAATTTATTATCTCATAAGCTTCACCAAGTCTAGGATCTCTCCAATATTAGACTTCGAGATAATGTATACCTTAAAGTCATTTTCTCCATGCTTACCAGTTCAATGTTTTCCTTGCCGATGACCATGCTTTCTCTTTGTTTTTTCTTAAATTTATTGGATCAATAATCACAAGCTGAGCCTCACTTTTTTATTGCTGTCTGATGTATGCAAGCAAAGGGTTGCTGCAGTGGTAGCTGCATGATTTTTTGTCTTGGCATTAATTGGCTCCACTTTGCTTTTTGTAATGCTTCTAAAACATCCCATCATTAACAAGGACGCTAAGAAGACAGATTTGAGCTGTGATCTTCACCTTAACAAGATAAGATCCTGCTTTAGTGACCGATTAAGACACCCCCTAACAAATTCTTAAGATAGGAAAATCTTAAATATTAGATTCTCTTGTTTAATTACTGATTGAAGACAAAATGAGTAAAGAAACTTGTTTTTAGACTTAAACAGTGTAATTGCCTGGTTGGTGCTTGCGGGTCTCTCTCTTCATGGGACCAAGATCATTCAACCAAAAAGCTCAGGGCCTATTTTCTTTCAGACCATGTGACTCCGTATGAGCTCCTATACACCTGAACTACTTTCAACTTTTCTCATGGCTGGATGTGGTACTAATCGCATTCCAAATACGGTCCAATGAGACGAGGGAGGGAAGAGATCGATCAGCAGGTGACGGTTGTTTTCCTCACCTCTCTTTTTATGGGTGGTATCACGAATTTAGGGAGAAAGTATAGGCTATGGATGCACCACAGAAGTAAAGAAAAAGTATGGCTTGCGTGTGAGGTATCCGAAGCTTTCAAGAGAGCCCACTTCTGAAACAGAATTTATTCTGCCTTGGCCTTTTTACAGAGGGAGCCTTACTGATAATCAAAGACACGCACCTCTTGGCTGCTAATTCGGTCAAAATCGTTTGTGCTGCAATGCTAGGGTTATTGTTTCAGAATTCAGACGGATACGTGTGGTATCATTTACTCGGTTTTTGTTTTTTGTCATGACACAGACAAGAAAACACGATTGTTTTGAACATTTTTATTGAAAAAGAGCAATGATCACAATTTTTGAAAATCACTTCGTTTGACTTTGATAAATCTTGACAACTTGTTGTTTTTTGAAATCTGAAAAACAAAAAACAAACAAGTTTCCCAGTTTCGTTTTCAAATTTAGTTTCTAAAAGTAGAAAATGGAGAATATAGCAAACGCATATTTAATTATCAAAGCAGAGACCTTTTCCTTTTTGCCTCAATAAAGGAAATGCATTTATTGCTGGATACAGTTTTGTAAGCTTCTCCAGCACTATCCTATAATCTTAATGTCACTCTTTATTTTTTTCCCCTTTTCTAATTTCCCCCATTGAAAAGCTTATTTAAATAATCACGTACAAGGGCATGCTTTAGCCATTCCATAGTTGACACGGAAAAGAGCTTTCTTTTAGCATTTTTGGTTTCCATTGGAATGTATCGTCATGAAGCTATGAAGAAGGAGCACATGGCAGAGTAGTAGGCCCGTAAGAGATCATGTATATTTGGTGCAAAACCGAAGTGGGTGATGGATGATATGTGCTGAGGTAATTGGGGTACAAGATGGGGTTAGAGAGTGTCAACTATTTTGGATGCTTTATAATGTTTCCTTTTTAATTTTGATGATCCAGATTCATGTGAAATGGAACATGTCGTTTGCTAGGAAGGAATAATGGTGCTCTCTCTCTTCTTCCAACAGGTAAATAGAGCAATTATTTCCTACTCATTTGTGGGATGGGATGTCCATAGTGCATATCTTCATTTATTTTATCACTCAACTCCTCTTTATATAACCCCACCCGCTTTGACTCCTCTTTTGACACCAAGTCCCCGGTTGCCATTGCCGACTTCCTTTGGTATTGATCGGTAAGTTTAGCCATGTCGAAGGGGGTTGGTTAAATACTTGCATTCAAGGTAGTGGAGCCTACGCGAAGCAGGGATTGAGTTGACTGAAAAAGACATCAAATCTCTGTCGAGATTTGAAGGGAAAAAAAGAGAAGAGGATCCGTTAAATGGGATTTTAATTGGATATTGAGAGCGAAGGGAAGGACAGCATAAACAATGTGCATTTGCTCCTCAATAATTCACACCTAGTGTTCATCCAAGGGCAAATCCACTGACATTGGTCCTGCTACACTCTTGCTCTCCTATAATTCGATGTTTTTTTTAGCGTGCACTGTCCCAGTCACAAGAGAGATAGCGTTCTTTCCTAAGTAGGCAATATGGGACCCTAACTTCCTAATCTGAATCCTACCTCACGGGAATATCTCAGTAGTAGGCAATATCTCAGGAATTTTAAGGGTGGTGCATGGAACTAGCATCCAACTATTTTGTCTTCGTAACAGTATCGAACTTTCTTTTAGAGAGCAATCCTTTATCAATCACCACCAAATAAAGTTACAAAGTTCCTGCCTATTATCTTAGCAGAATATATATCCTTCTTTTTTTTGGTGGCTTATATACAGATACTCTTCTCCACCTTCATAGATGCTCATATTTCCCTCAAGTTCCTCCAATTGGCTATACATATTGACCAAAAAAGAAAGAAACAGCCACGCTTTAGCTACCATTTTGTGTTGTGGAGACCTAAAGTAACCTGTGTAAGGAGCCTATTAATTAAGAGCCAGAAACAAGAGTTGCCCCAGTTGAGTTGAGAGACATTTATGGTAAGTCTGACAAATGCTGCTTGCTTCTGACCCTGGGAAATCATGCATATCCACTAGCCAAGAGCCATGACAGATGGGAACTAGGATTTAATTTGAAGTTATCGTCTCTATCAAGACCTAACTTGCATTTGAAGTTAATGTCTACATCAACTCCTAACCATTTAATTAATTAATTGAAACCCTAATGTCGGATCATTAACATTCAATAAGGATATACTCCTTCCATACAATGATGATGATCATGAAATATGTTTGAACATCAAGTCAACAGCCATTATTGGGTCTGAATTGCACGTGCATCCATCTACGCTAGGCCTATCCATCATAACGTGTAAGTATTTTGTATGTAACTGGACCCCAACTTCAATTTTGTGTTCGATAACGTGGTGTAATTATTATTATTATTATTGCAAAAACACATTTTATCCATTATTTTTCACTGGTTTTTATATAAAGATATATAAAAACATAAATTTGATATATATATTTAAAAAATCTAAATGTATTTTAAAAAACAATTTAAAGTGCAGCCTTTGATCACGACAAGCAAAACCCTCTGTTCTTTTATCAGATGGCAGTGAATGCACAAGGGATACTAGTTCTGTGAGACGCTACCACTAGTATATAAATACATTATTTGTAGGGGAAAACAGAGGGGGGCAGCTTTTGCTTTTTAAAAAGTAGGCTGCTTTTGGGATAATTTATAGGGACTGTAGAGACAAAGTGATTGTATTAGAATCAATAAAGCAAAACCCAACTGGGGTAGTAGGGTAATTCAAAGTAAAACAAATGAAAGAAAAGAAAAGCAAATGTGAGGAATAATTCGCGCAACGAAGATCTCGCGAGGGGCAAATCACTACATCACAAATCTCTAAGTCCAATCCCCTCGAGACTGTAATTTTTTCTCTTATAATAATTAAAGCAAGGGTAAGAGAAGAAGAGTGGGATTTTGGGATTTTGATACCTTAATATTTTAAGAAAATGGCCAAGTACTTGAGGGAATGTTGGATTCCCACAGGTCACACAGTAGAAGCTTAGCAAACCAAAGCAAATCCCAACACTTTGTCCACTTTCATTGTCACTGATCACTAATATGTTCTAAATTATAAGATTTTACAATGCTTAACAGTTATCACTGATATTATCTAGACATGGTTAGCGCAGCTTGTTGCCTTTATATTCTTTTCTTAACATTTGCCGAACCAGTGGCAGGCAAGTTATTCCTCTTTTACTTTTAGAGTCTCAGTCTTACCAAAACCTCTGGTTATCTTGACTCTTTGTCTCTCAGAGATGAGGTGTGAGTTAGTGCAATTATAGGACAGCATGAGCAGTTGTAGGACTAGTGCCTGGTTCGTATACAATACCAAGACAAAACAAAGACTACTTCAACACTGTTTTTGTTGAATCTAACAACCAGCCCTTTACTAGCCTCCCAGAAGCTGGTTTTGGTAATTAGCAACCTTCGATTCAATGGTGGCAAGGAAAAAGAATGCTCTTTTCTGTTGTGTGGGTTTGTTAATCTGCTTATGGAATACTGCGTATGGAGAACTAACAGCTACAGGTGTTAACTTTGAAGGTAACGGGAGTTTTGCTCAGTAATGGAGAATTAAACATGTCTTTTAAATTTTTTTGAAAAGTTAAGAGCTTGAAGTAATCTCTACCTTTTCTTTTCTGTTATTTTTCTCCTCTCAGTGGAGGCTTTGATGGGCATTAAAGCTTCATTGCATGATCCTCATGATGTTCTTAAATGGGATGAACATTCTGTGGATCCATGCAGCTGGATCATGGTTACTTGTTCTACTGATGGTTTTGTCACTACACTGTAAGTAATACTAAATTAATGACTAACCAAGACACTCAGAGAAGCTGAATACACAAGCAAATAATTTGAAAGCAAGCACCCCATTTAATGAGAGTTAAAGTGTGAAAAATCATTTGTAGTTAAAAAGTGGTTTTGTTGCAGAGGAGCTCCAAGCCAAAGTTTATCTGGCACTCTTTCACCATCCATTGGAAACTTGACAAATCTCCAGTCTCTGTGAGTATTCAGTTAATATTCAGGAAGTGTGATTTTATACCTGCGTTTGTTTTTGTTTAAAAACTTTGACAATATGGTGTTTTGCAGGCTTCTACAGGATAACAATATTTCAGGACATATACCCTCTGAGCTTGGAAGGCTCCCAAAGCTTAAAACAATTGATCTTTCCAGTAACAACTTCAGTGGTCAAATTCCTACTACTCTCTCTAATCTTAATAGCCTCCATTACCTGTAAGTAAAAAGTGTACATAGACACCAATATTTATTTTTGTTCTTTCATAACAATTTTAAAATCAGGCGGTGATTATTTTTAAAAGTTTCTTAAGAGTCTGATTCTGACAAAGTGGAATGTGGATCAGGAGACTTAACAATAACAGTCTTAATGGAGCAATTCCTGCCTCTTTGGCTAACATGACTCAACTTACCTTTCTGTAATTCTCTTCAGACCCTTATCCTTGTGCTATTGTTATCTATAATTTTATCTTAGTAAAATCCATATGATTTGCGTGGATTTTGTTTAATGTTCCAGGGACTTGTCTTACAATAATTTGAATACTCCTGTACCACCTGTTCATGCTAAAACATTCAAGTACGTCAATCCTAAAACCTATTTGTCATTCTATATTTCATTTTTCCCTCGTGAACGAAAACAGGAAAAAAAAAACTATAATCTCTTTTACATAAATTAATTAGTTGATGTTGCGTTTTTTTATTGACTTAGCATTGTAGGAAATACTCTGATATGTGGAACTGAGCAAGGCTGTGCTGGAACCACACCAGTTCCGCAATCTTTGGCTGTGCATAATTCACAAAGTAATTGTCTTTCCCGCCTGCTGCAAAGTTGCCTACTTAATTCCAAGTTTGAATTTATTCTGTTCTAAAAGTTGTTGTTGTGCTTCCCTTTTGCTTTTTTTTTTTTTTGGAATTATTTTTCTTTTGACTTTAATTTGAAGCTCGTGATTTTTTTTTTAATCCTTTGTAGGCTATAAAATACTTTTGAGATTGTTACTTTCATTTTGTGTTTCAAATTACAAATCTTAATTTCTATATTATTCTCTGTAAATTATCTCATCTTTAAATCATTCTCAAAAGTCTTTCTTTGTTTCTTAAGATTCTCAGCCTTCTGGAAATAACAAGAGCCACAAAATTGCCCTGGCCTTTGGTTCAAGCCTAGGCTGCATCTGCCTGTTGGTTCTTGGATTTGGCTTCATTCTTTGGTGGAGACAAAGACACAACCAGCAAATATTCTTTGATATTAATGGTTAGTAAGGCATAAATTGACTTGAAAATTATAAAGCATTAGCAAAATTAAGCGGTTGTTAGTAACAGATATGTGTTTTTTAACATTTTTCTCTTTCCAAAAATACCAGAACAGCATCATGAAGAACTCAACCTAGGAAACTTGAGGAGGTTTCAATTCAAAGAACTTCAGATTGCAACAAGCAACTTCAGCAGCAAGAACTTGATAGGAAAAGGTGGTTTTGGGAATGTCTACAAAGGGCATCTCCAAGATGGAACTGTTGTAGCAGTGAAAAGGCTCAAAGATGGAAATGCCATAGGCGGTGAGATCCAATTCCAGACTGAAGTTGAGATGATCAGCCTAGCAGTGCATCGAAATCTCCTTCGTCTCTATGGATTATGCATGACAACAACTGAAAGGCTATTGGTTTATCCTTACATGTCCAATGGGAGCGTTGCTACTCGTCTTATGGGTAATGCATCCATCAAGATAGCCCTACAACTTGTGAGTCACTGAATTATAATTGACCTTTCTTTAATCATGATGTAAATATTGTGCCTATCATTTCTCTTGCAGCAAAACCTGTCCTGGATTGGGGTACAAGGAAAAGAGTTGCCTTAGGAGCAGGAAGAGGTTTATTATACTTGCACGAGCAATGTGATCCCAAGATAATTCACAGGGATGTGAAGGCTGCAAATATATTACTTGATGATTATTGCGAGGCTGTTGTGGGAGATTTTGGATTGGCAAAGCTGTTGGATCACCGGGACTCACATGTGACAACTGCTGTGAGGGGCACTGTGGGGCACATAGCCCCTGAGTATCTATCAACAGGCCAGTCCTCTGAGAAAACAGATGTTTTTGGATTTGGAATACTTCTGCTAGAATTAATATCTGGCTTAAGAGCTCTGGAATTCGGGAAGTCAACGAACCAGAAAGGAGCATTGCTTGACTGGGTAAGCTAAACAAGCACGTTTTACTTTTTAGATACAGTTCGGACAAATCCAAGTCCCATTTCTCAACCATCACTAAATTTATGATCTTAATTACAGGTGAAGAAGATTCATCAGGAAAAGAAGCTGGAATTGTTAGTTGACAAGGATCTGAAAAACAACTACGACCGAATTGAGCTTGAAGAAATAGTTCAAGTAGCTCTGTTATGTACCCAGTACCTTCCAAGTCATAGACCTAAAATGTCAGAAGTGGTTCGGATGTTAGAGGGAGACGGGCTCGCTGAAAAGTGGGAAGCTTCTCAGAGAGCAGAAGAAACTAGATCAAGAGCCAACGAGTTCTCCTCTTCGGAAAGATATTCTGACCTGACTGATGATTCATCGTTGCTTGTCCAAGCAATGGAGCTCTCTGGACCCAGGTGACATGATTTTCAAACAGATAGCGTTTACGAACTTTCAAAAGGATGCGATACAGTGTCTGAAAACAAGCTTTGTGTATATTTACCACGTATTGGAGCTCTCAAGCTGTGTTAAAATTTCTTGACTGTACAGAACCGGGATCTGTAAAAATGACATAGTTGAGTGCTTTATGTTTTTTTATTTGTCTAGCTGGTCGAGTGAAGAATTTTTTGGCTGTGTTTTGCTGGGGTTCACTTTAATGATAACCTTCGAATAAAGTTTGTTACTCCTGAACTAAAATATTACCCTTCCAGCTCAGAAGAGAGATTTGTCTTGGTCAGTACATGACAATTATGATTGCTTCTGAAAGTTAATAGTTTATGGGGACGAAATTCATGGTCCGAGGGGTGGCTAGAAGGACAGTTTGTCTCGCAGGGTGATCTTTCATCAAGCGGTTGCTGGGCCAGCCCCCCGCTTCAGCTACAGGAAATGTCATGGCATCAAAATTCAAAGATGAATACTTCCACTGATGGACATAGCCAATTGAATTATAAGAACTCAAGTGACGTAGAGGATCAGGGAATAAACAAAGTCTCTGAATGGTAAATAACAAGCGAGGAGGGTACCAATACCATTACCATGCAAAGCATAGTCCTGAAACATTTACAAGAAATCCTAAAAAACAGACGTCAGTTTTTATAAAGTACTTTATGAAAAGAAAAGATAAGGACATGAATCTCTATCGTTCTTCACTTTCTTTGAGCTCGAGAAATCAAAGTTTATTATGCAGCACCCATGAAGGGGCAAGATAAAAGACCCAACAAGATTTCGTGCACACCGTATTCTTGTATACTTGAATGATGTTATTATTTCACAAATATCCACAAGAAAAGCAGCTTTTCATGGAATACACAGCGTTTCATCGGGTAAAAATATAATTTCAGCTTCAGCAGAAGCCCTTCGAAACCTGACCAACTGAATCAGCATATTCAATCTGCCATCCATGACATATACACAAGGTGTGATAGACATTGTCTCAAGCACTGGGGAATTCGCAAGCAAAAATTTCATAAATTCCATTTCATGTGGCACACCAGACATATCTGTCATCTTTACAACTTTAAGTTGTTTAAATGTGCAATCTTTAGGGCACTCTTTCGCCCAAAATTCCAAATTCGGTGCTTCTACAGAAGTCACAGCGGTTGATGAGCCCTACATAAAAACCATAGAAGAAAAAACAAAAAGTTCGCACCAGTCTTGAGTGAATTAATGTAAAATGCAATGCGCAAGTAAATTATAATTTCACCAAAAATCACAAAAGAAGATTCGAACATGTGCAACAAAACTTACCGAGATCCGAAGTTCCTTGAAATTAGGAGAGTTCATGATCAAGCGAAGAACAACACGTATCTCTTTCATATCTTCAAAACTAACTTGATACAATTCAATTATTTTTAGGTGGCTGTATGTAATTGCAAGACTTCCTGGATAATCACCTATGCTCAAATACTAACACCAAAAGAACAGAATCAAACCAAGGAAAAAGGAAAAAAAGGATGAAAATAAGAGTTACATAAGGACATAATTTTGCACCTTATAATCTAGATTCCTCATGGTTCATTTACCAAAACATAGGAGCAAAGACAAGCTACATCGTAAATTCATGCACCAAATAAGAATATGACACGGTGTTACCTTTGTGAAGTAGATGTGCCCAGCAAGCCTCTCAAGAAGAGGTACACCCCCAAGAAATTTGATAAAATTGCACTTTGAACTTTGCTCAAGGCATTCTGCCATTTCGTCATTCATATACATAGCAACAGACATGGCAACTAAAAGTGGGGTATGTTCAAGACAAATATCAGTAAATTCACCTTCCAAGCACAGGTACTTGAGATTTGGAGCGTGGATATTAAGAGCTAAGCTATCAAAATAAGACAATGCAAGACTTTCCAGAAGTGGGCAACCGGAAATCAGACTTTCAATTGCCTCAGGAGCAACCAAAACTTGATGAAGACTAAGGCTCCTCAAACACAAGAATCCTTTAAAGGTAGGAGGTGGATCAAATTCACATCGGAAAAGCTCCAAACAGGTCAACTTTTTACAATTGAAAAGACAAGATGGCACCCTAAACCACTCGCCTTCTCCGAGTTCAAGCACCAACTCCTTAATATCACTCCTTGAGAGGAAAAGTATCCACTGATCAATATCCGGGCAGCATTGCAAATATGAAGTAGAGAGCTGGAACTTGTGAATAGGTCCTTGGTGAAGAAAGAGTGCCCGAGTGATGAAGTTGACCATGCAGTTTTCAACCACTGGTCTATCACTGCACATCCTCACACATTTGTCATCGAAAACCAGGTGAGTAAGTGTAGTCCATCGATACCTCCATTTACTTGACAAGATGCTTGTTCTCACAGCATCTCTTATTGGTAATCGAGTGAGGATGCTTTCCAGAATGCTCTGAGGCAGATCACTTATCAGATCCGGATCCTCAACATCTCCCATTTGCACCTATCAGCTTAAAGAACAAACAAAACAACGCAAGCCCAACTCTAATAATCAAACGGATGTAACAACCAAACATTAAAAAAATAAAAGAAAGTTAAAGAAAGTCATGATCTTTCCCTCAAATTGGATAAAAACTAAAAAGAAATGGCACCGATTCAAGATAGAAACTTTCGTCGTTTGAGACTCCACAAAAATGAAACCCACCACTAAACTGAGCCTATAAATGGACTGGTAATTGACTTGATTAAAAAAAATAAAATTTCCCTTCTGTTTCCTTCGCAACCAAACACAAAAGGGCAAACGGAAACAGAACAACTCTCAAGAAACCAAATTTGACAACTGGGTCAGGCAACGAACCACAATCAATCTTATCATCAGCAATCATTTCAATTATAAGATTGAGCAAATTAGACCAATGAGTGTCAATTATGATGATTGAAAAAAGATTTAGCAAACAAATTCGTGACAGAAGAGATCCAAAATGATTCATGCAACAAAGGTTAGATAGAGCACAAAACTCAGAGTCAGTGCAGAAGGGCAAGAAGATGAGGTTAAAGGGGTCAAAAATAAGAGCAGAGATTTACTCCCAAAAATCAGAACAATAAGAGTGCTGAAGTGGTAGTTGAGACTTCGAGTTCGAGGGAAGAATTGCTGTCTTTCCTTGTGTTGTTGTTTTGGTTCCGGTGAGTGGTCGTGCCATATCTTACGCTTTATTTTTAGTAAATTATTCTTTGATCCCTCTATTTTAAAACTAGTAATTAACTGATCCTTCACTTTAATTAACTTATAAGTTAATCCTTGTTAACCGTTGTCTTGTTAACATGTCTAGTTGTGTAATCCTCCCCCATTATGTTGTTGTTTCTATATATAAATAAAAATATATGATACTTCAGGGGTTTAGTAAAAATCAATAAGTGTTTTGTAGAGACAATGGTGAAGGAGCGCTATCCTACTTGTAGGGAAATGATAGAGGCTTGCAATTGAAGCCCTGAAATTATATTTTCAAACAAATTAAGGACTAAGTCATAATATCGTTTAGTATATAAGTACTAAAGAACAATCACTTTACTTTTGCAGGGATGAACCGCACGTAGAGTGTGTTATTAATGATTCGAACACGGCTGAAACTAATTTCTTAAAAATTTGAAAAAACATTTTTAATTTTTAATTTTTTTTTATATTTTTATATTGTTTTGATACATTGAAATTGAAAATAATAAAAAATATTATTTTTATGTATTTTTAAATAAAAATTATTTTAAATTACAACTGGTATCATTATTCCAAATATTTTTCTGGATGTCGTGATCAGAACGACATGTCATTGATGGTTGAGATAAGTGAAATGTCGTCTCCTTTATGCGTATGATAGACAGGTGGCTTACCTATGAAGACTATCTTTCGAAGTCAGGTTAACCAGACACGAAGAGGAAGTTCTAGTTATTGGTGTTAATGGACTGGAACTATAACCTTAAAGTCTATTCATGGAGACTTTATTTTCGTAGAAGAAAAAAGGTTGTTCGGAGATAAGTGGCTGAAAGTATCATTGAACAAAGGCTGGTTAAGGTTTCCCAATTCAGGTCTCCATTGGCTTGAAAACCAACTCAATGTTCACAGCTTTTCGCAATGGAAACACACGCACACGGGTATATTTTGTGCTAGAAGGGTTGGAAGATGACAGACCTGAATTTCAAATTTTCAGGATAAGTATAATAGTTGGTTGAAGGAAAGATATAAAGATGATTTTTTGATTCATTTGGATTTCAATCTGAATTTATAAATAAAGGTAGGATCATTTGGTAGACTTGATAAAACTCAATTACATAAACTCTAAATAGAAGCTACTAATCTCAAAATCATTTACTTCGACGTTTTTTCAAAGCTATATGCTTTAAGAACATGCCTCTCCTTGCAGTAGTATCAAATGGATCATTTGGAAATAGAGAGGAAAATTTTGAGATCATGGAGACCTCCAATATAATTGAGGTGTTTGCCTCTCACCATTGGTGGAAAAAATTCACACATATTGCAACGTATGGAAAGCAAGTTATTTCTCAGGCATTATTTGTCAAGCTGTTTTTCTGTCTGTTTCAAGCTGCCACTTGCACATGATGTACCAAAGACGCTTCCAACATCAGCTGAACTCCTAAAAGCCCTCGGGTTGCCAAATTTATGTTTTGGAGGGATGGCGGAGGTGTCTGTTTGATTAGCAGCTCACCGTACTTCAGTAGACTTTGGGTTGAGCCGTCACATTACACTACACCCTTAATTACTTTTATTAAGGGATTCATTTCATCGTTATAAAAAAACATAATTTACAGGTAATATTTTCATCAATAAAATTTATTTGGTAGAATATTAATTGTTTGTAATTCCTCTTTCTATTGATAATTCTATTGAAAATTTTAAAAAAATACCAAACATCAACGGTCTTATAGACAAAAAAGTGAGTCAAAATTTTTTTTTGTGAAACTTTATCAACAAACTTATTCCATTTGTATTTTCAACAGTAATCACTAATAGACTGGCCGTCGGTGATTACGGTATAAACATTAAATATTTCAGAGCTCTTTATAAAATATCAATAAATATATTCCGTCGATAATAACAGCGGTAAACACCAGTGAAATATGTCTATTAGTGATTGTAGCATGAATGATAATTTTTTTCCAATTCTCTGTAAAATACCGGCAAGTTGATTTCGTTTATAAGGATGTCGGTATTAATTTAAAATATTTAAAAAATATTATTTATTAATAGTAAAAAAACTAATTAACCAAATAAAATTATATTAAACATTAAAAATATAAAAAAAATGCTAAGATTATATTAAACATTAAAAATATAAAAAAATGCTAAATAATATTTATCCAAATATTCATTACAAATTTAATATGTTTTAAAAATAAAATTAAACTAGAATAATGATAGAACTGGAGCAGAAAAAGGTTGGTTGTTTCCAGGACCATACAACCAAAAAAAAATTACACATGTATCATCACCCATCCTTGATTTAATATTCATAACCATTTAACAGGACTGATCATAATCAGTCAAGAGGAGTTCATATTGTTGTTTCCACGCCATAAACCTTTTAGACTAGATGTTTGATTCTGATGGAGAGCTCATAATGATTGAGACATTACGTGTTGTCTACAAGTTTTCAATTGTAGTATCGGAGAATATACATCACCTTGGGTGCAGATGATTTGGCTAGCAAAAGCCTAACAAACTCCATTTCGGGCAAGGTGCCAATGAAGCGTTGTAATTTTACTTCCTGGAGTTGATTCAAGGAAAAATCCAAGAAGCCATCCCACTCCGAAAGTTGAAGGAAAGGATTAGTGCTAACATTGCGGCTGCAGAACACCTATAAAGAAGAAAAGGGATTAAGAAACAAACTCAATTAGAGCCTTCCAAACGTAAACCGAACAGATAAATGTTTTGCAAGCATAAGCATAAAATAGCTCAGATCTATATGCCCAACCGTAATCAGAAGTTTTTGCAGGTTAGGAGAGCTTCTAATCAAGCAAAGCGCACATGAGACCTCCTCCACCTCGGCATAACACAAATCGTTTATCTCTAGAAACTTTAGATTGGTTAAAGAAGTTTGAAGCATCACTGATGAATCAGGAACAGCAAGGTCCTTGCAACAACCACCAAAATAAAGAGTTAACAAAAATTCCCTGCTAAAGAAATACATAAAATGAAGGGCATTAATCTATGTTACCTCCAAAAAATAATAATCGACACTCAGGTGCTCTATAGCAGGCAAAGAACTAAAAACCTCAATCAAACTCGAGTGATTCCTTGTCTCGTTGTCTAGTTCTGCACCCGGTGTTAGATAAACTGAAAGTTCTGCTATTCAGGAGCATTTTTGAAAAAGATACATTCGTAAACGCCATTGTAGTGTAGCAATTTCAGATTGGGAGCATTGATTTCGAGGCAGGAAATTTCCACACAGCGATCCAACACCAGTTTTTCAAGTAGCGGACAATTGGTGAGAAAATCTTTTAAGAAATCAGCATCAAAGTGGACTTCACGAAACTCAAGACTAATGAGCTTGCTAAACCCTTTAAATGATGGTGGAGGTTTGAATATACATGAACGTAGTTTCAGGTATGAGAAAAGGTATGAAGGCAACTTATGGCGGCGATTATCTTCGCTTGAGATCTGAAGATTGAAATCAGTGATATCTTTCGTAGAAAGGAAAAGAATCAAACGATCAATCTCAGGACAACTTTTTAATCCAGAGATGGAAAGGGTGAACTTATGTATTGATCCGAAGTGAAGCAACAGCACTTCATATACTGTCTTCATTAGAAGTTCAGTGCTAGTTGAACCTTGTATAAGTCCCTGCGAATTTCAAAGAAAAGTATCATCGAAAACAACTTGAGGAACATCGACCCATTTATGCCTCCATGTCTTTGACAAGATTGAGGATCTTGCTGCATCTCGAATTGGCAAGCACATTAAGATATTCTCTATGACATTGCTTGGTAAGTTACTGATTCTATCAGAAGTTAAAGAACGAACAGACTTGTTTGAACAACAATAATTACTGTCCTGAAATCGAAGACAACCCCACCAATCAAATAAGTATGAATTTACCACGAATCTAATTTTCCAAAATAAGAACAGATTATAAGCACTACTTATATTTCACACAACAAGTATTAAAATCCACAATATAGTATAACAAATTCAACACACAATGGCACAAATTGAAAAATATGCACAAGTTTACTTTTTTGGTTCAAAGAAACAAATTACAGTATTATGCAAATTAAAGCAAACCCACGACAGTTTTTCTGTCATCAATTCCAGGAAACAAAGAGAAACTACATTAACACTGGTAAAAGGCATGAATAACATGGGGGAAAAGAGGGTGCCATACCTCAGTCATGCTGATCAAGGAGTGGAAACACCGACTGGGTTTCGGTGAGCAAATGCGTATTCAAAAAGAAGTAGACTCAAGGTTACATTGACGTCAGTGCGGGCCCCGTGTGTGCGCGTATAAATATTATTTACAATATTAAAACACGAGGGAAAAACTAATGTACATTTACTTTTGATACATACTCATCGGATTATGAACGATGTTCTAGATATAGACTGTTTACGCATTGTAACACCCGTAAAAAATGTTGTTTTTTCTATTTGTAAATCAGAAAGTACATCCAATAGCATTGAGTTATGTTAAGTGCATTAGAGTTGTGTCTTGCCTTAACAAGACCCAAACTTTTATTTTATTTTATTTTATTTTTATATGATTAAAAGAAAATAAATAAATAAGAATTTTTTTATTTAAGTTTTGATTGAATTTTTTTTATTGAAACATATTTATTTTTGCTTTTAAAAATACTTTTAAAAATATTTTTTTCTTCTTGATTTTTTTTCAAAATAAAAGCATTTAGAAATATTATAATTCTATTATTGTCATTTTTGCTTTTAAAAATACTTTTAAAAATATTTTTTTCTTCTTGATTTTTTTTTCAAAATAAAAACATTTAGAAATATTATAATTCTACTATTGTCGTATTAAAGTTAATGGAGCTTTAAATAATTTTTTATTTACATAATATATTTTATATATTTGTATTATATAAGAAATTTTTTTAAAAATAAAAACTATAAAAAAATTCATAAATATTATAATATAATATTATTTTGGATGGATAACCCAATGATGCTGGGTGCTCTCACTGTGCACATTTGACAAACCAATTCCGAGTACAATTCCAAATGGGGTTGTTGTAGAGAAGAAGAACACCAGGATTGCTTTTATCTTCATTCCATATTCAGCCTGATCGCATAAACGCAATTCTTAGAGAAGTGTTCTCCTACTAGTACCAGAACATTACCATATACGGGGTCAGAAATTTAGAGGATTTGTGAATATAAATACCTGTAATATGCATCCTCCAAGACCCATTCCTTCAAAGAGTTGATGGAAGCAGAGGGCAGCGACGAGCGGCCTGATTGTGCACGGATTGTTGATAAACCAATTACAACTGAGTGCACTACAATGCCGATCTCCAAAACCTGCACATGCACATGATGTAAAATCATCGTCAAAAAAAAAAAAAAAAGGAAAGAGAAAATTACATTGCAGTCAATTTAAGTCTCTGCACAAGCTCATCATATCTTCGAGAAAAAAGAACTCTAATCAGCTGTGCTTGTGCAAATGAGAGATCTGAAGAAGGCACCAAATTTTCTCGGTATTTTCACTCAATTAATCCTCAAAGAAATCGATAGCAAAAATCAAATGTACATAACCTAACCAGGAGCAAGGTCATGGAGGAAAGTGATAGACAGTTGCAAATGTCAATAAACCTGCAACAGTGGAAAAAAAATCAAGAAAAAGTGCATTCCAGAACTCTAAATCCATTGAAATCTCCATTAGTTCATGCACCTTTTAAAAACTGATGACATAAAAAGTCTCTGTTGACCCACTGAAGCATCACAGATGCTGGAGCAAACCCGTTGTAATCTAATCGAACTAAAGGTAAGGCGTTGAGTTAGGGGTATAAAGGGCTCTATATCATAGACACATGATCAAGAAGGATGATGTAATGTTGGCACGAAGAAGACAATGGGATGACAAAAGCTGAATAAATGATAAGGGACAGGACTCAAATTTCAAAAGAGAAAGGGAAGGCAAGTCCAAGAAAATTGGGAAAAATCGAACTAATTAGCATCACCAACTAACAAGTTTGTCACTGTAATGTCCACAAAGACTTCATGTCACTCCTCTTTGTGATCCTATCATATTATGATCCAACTGTGAGTCCAACAAAGCAAGACTTCACTCACAGGAGTACAAGGGAAATAAGCCTGGTGGCAGCAGGGCACAAATTTAATGGGTCCTGCTCTTGCTCTGGCCTACTGTTGCTGGCTCTTGCTATTAGCAATATCCAGCAGTGGGTCCTGCTAAAGCTATATCCCATCACTATAGTGAAAGAAGGCACTGCTGGCACCCAGTCCATTATTATTGGGTTTGGCGACAAAGCCAAACCCAATAAATTAAGGTAATGGCAGAAGGATCCAGTAACTAAGTATACATCTGGGTTCAATGCTGCTGGGCAGCAGGTCCAACATCCCTGGATCATTCTTGACAAAAAACACCCTACAGTGGTGGGTCCTACTTGTTAGAATGACGTTGCAGCTAGGTAACGATCTGGATCCAGTATTATTGGATCATATTTTTGGAAGAATCGAACAGCGTTGGGTCATTCTTGTATTTATAAATTGTTTTTTAATAGATTTTATGTACTGCTGGCAGATTGTGCTGGCAATAATACCTATTGCTGCTGCTGTTGGGTCCCAGTGAAAACACAGTCTAATTTTAATGGGTCTTGCTTGCAGCTTTGAGCCCACTACTACTAGATGCTGGTAAAAGCAGAGCCCAACTTTAATATCCGTGCTTGAGCTAGGCCGACTTTAATGTTCAAATCTTAAAGAATGCACGATTGTTTAGCTTTTCTGCACCAACAGGACCAAGTTCCAACCCTCAGAATTGGTTTCTTAAAAACCTTTTACATGGTTATAAATATTGTCTAGCATCAGTAAGAAGAACGCATCCATGTCAAAGTACAATTACATTTTGCGTGCAGACTTTTTTCATAATCTGCAGTATATAATTTTTGTTTAGATTAACGTGGGTATCCGGGACAGTTTGCGTACATCACGACTAATTTCACGGGCCCTGAAGTTAACGACCGGGACAGCTTGCGTACATCACAACTAATTTCACGGGCCCTGAAGTTAACGACCATGTAAGTCTTCAGTGGCCATCATATGAGCAACTAAAAACTTAAACCTGAGACTACAGAAAGAACAAATCTTTTAAAGTGGCCATCATATAAACAACCAAGAACTTGAAACTGAGACTACAGAGGGTTATCACTTGATCACCACCTATATGGTTATGTGCAATTGACGTTTTGATTGTACAGCTTGGCGTCCGGCTCGCAAACCTTTTAATCTCAAGTTCTTACCACATGATCAATTGAAGTATATAATTGCTATGATCAGAGGAGACTAGAATAATTAATTCAAACGAGCACTGTATAGCTCTTTCCAACAAATTAATAGTGAGGTTCGATTAAAAAAATTGCGCATGATCTTCAAAAATTGGAGTCGCATCTTCCATATCATATTCACCCAGACAAACTGCTTACAATACTAAATTTCCAAAGGAATGACACATGTAAAAAGCAACATTACCATCAAAATTACCATCGACAATTCGGCTTGAATCATTGTAGTTGTTCATTGATATGACAGCAACGCTGGGCAAAAAGTTGAGAATTTTTTCAGTGAAAATGGTCTTCTCAGCTCCTGAAGGGCCTGCTATACCTTCCAGAATTATTCCATCATTCTTTTGTGCTAACAATTGGCAGGCACGGATAACAACAAAAAATCCTTCAGAAGTATTATTGAGAAACAAAAACAAAATCACTAGCGAAATCAAGATAAGAAAATCGATATAAAAACAAATCCAAACAGCGACAAACAGGGCTAAAAACTCGGCCACAGCAATCTGTACGGATCCACTATAACACCATCCCAAAGCAACCGCCACATGAAAATAAAAATAAAAAAAGAGTAAAATTTATTAAGAAAATGGGAGAAGCAGCAAAGCCCGGACACTGGTGACAGTTCTGTTTCGTTTAGCTTCAGTCAGTGTGCATCTTGTTTAAGGAAGAAGGAATTTGTATGGATGCCATTTGAATATGTATGTTAGTCTTCGCTGCATTAATAAAATCTTTCTTATCGTAAAATGAGAGAAAAAACCAGCACAGATTTTACCAAGAAGTAGAAAAGATCTGAACTTTTATTTTCACAGCTTTTCAAATATAGTTGTTCAGACGAATTTATTTGCACTACCCAATCCTGCTTCCTTCACTAGAAACAAAAAACAGAACCAAAAAACTCAGAAAACTCAACCAGGATATAAATATGCACAGAACGAACACATAGAATGACATTTTCTGTGTTCAAAATGACAATCTAGCAGTGCTGCCTAAGTCTTCAAATCAGCTAAGCCCATTTTGCCATAAGCGACATGCCTCCTGCGCCAAGTAGAACTGCAATAAATGACCATGCCTGAAGCCTCATACTGTCTTGAAGTTTAGGCCCCATGAAATCAGCAGCTAAGAGGTCCACCAGTGCCATGTAATTCAGTAATCCAGCAGATGATGCATTCAGTAATCCCACAACAATTAGAGCTGTTGGGCTGCTATCACTGTACACATTTGACAAACCAATTCCTAGTACAATTCCAAATGGGGTTGTTGTAGAGAAGAAGAACACCAGGATTGCTTTTATCTTCATTCCATATTCAGCCTGATCACATAAATGCAATTCTTAGTAAAGTGTTCTCCTACTAGTACCAGAACATTACCATATACGGGGTCAGAAATTTAGAGGATTTGTGAATATAAATACCTGTAATATGCATCCTCCAAGACCCATTCCTTCAAAGAGTTGATGGAAGCAGAGAGCAGCGATGAGCGGCCTGATTGTGCACGGATTGTTGGAGGCACCCATTGATAAACCAATTACAACTGAGTGCACTACAATGCCGATCTCCAAAACCTGCACATGCACATGATGTAAAATCATCGTCAAAAAAAAAAAAACGAAAGAGAAAATTACATTGCATTGCATTGTAGTCAATTTAAGTCTCTGCACAAGCTCATAATATCTTCGAGAAAAAGAACTCTAATCAGCTATGCTTGTGCAAATGAGAGATCTGAATTAGGTACCAAATTTTCTCGATATTTTCACTCAATTAATCCTCAAATAAATCGATAACAAAAATCAAATTTACATAACCTAATCATTAATACAATAATTTACGTGACTACAGTAAGTATTCATACCTGAGCCACAACACGATTCCTCAACAACATTGAATCCTTGTCATTAGCCCCGCCATTAAATCCACCGCAATGTCCAACATGTGCACCACCATTTTCAACATTCCCTAACCCTCTCTCCCCATTGTTCACTTTCTCACCGTCTACCCCACCACCCTTCTTATCAAAACCATGCTTCTTGTAGTAACTCATCGCGAAAGAATCGATCATGAGAGTGAGTATAGCTGACAACATGGCAACAAAAGTGGTAAAAGGAAACTTCTTCCAAGGATTTATCGGCAAACAATCAGACATCAAGTCGTTGAAAGAGTCCGGTAACACGTGCATGTACCCCGTCGCAAGGATAACACCTGAAGCAAATGCCTTTACCACTACAAATAAATCTCTATCGGGCATGAGTGCAGGGATCGTACGTGAAAATAATGGTAAACACACCCCAAGCATACTAGCAACCAAGATTGAAAAGATGGCAATTAGCTTTAGCTGTAAGGATTTGGCCTTGTCGTGGCATCCTCCTGTTGATGCGGAATCACATTGTTGTTGTGCCGATGTTGATGCTGGCAACGTGAATGAGAGGATCAAGATTAGAGAAATGGTGACTGCATTGATTTCTGTGAAGGATGCCATGTTGATGTTATGAGAATATTGAAGTAAGTGAACTGAAGTGTGATATATAAGGAAGTGTTTTTAGGGATTCAAACCCTTTATTTTAATTATCAAATGACGCAAGTGCCCTTGACTTTAAGGCACAGTAGCTGGGTTTATGGCTGGGACACTGTGGGTGATATTGGGTGTAGAGTTGGGTATATTTGAAAGAGGGAGGAAATTGTGGCTGGCGCGTGCCTGATTATGGTCCAATTACGTCGCGCCTTCCATTTTTCTTAGTCAAACCCCTCCAACTCATCCTTCTTTAGCTGACGTGGCTTGTTAATTTCCAAAAAATGCTTAGCTGGGCTTGGATCAGCAGTTTGCTTTGAAGCGTCCTTTTATTTAATTTTAATGATTAAAATCAATTAAAATTTTAAAAATTCAATTTAAAATTAAAATAAATATTCAAATTTTTTTATAAAAAATAATATTTTTATTTCAATTCTCTGACTTAATCTTTGATTGGAATTAACAAATTTATTATTATTTTTTAATATATATAAGTTTTAATTTATTTTATTAAATATATGTATGGAATTTCTTATCCACCGTTAAAATATTTCTTGATGAAAAAAAAAATTATCAACGCTCACATCTTTTTTTTTAATTGAAAAAAGAAAATTCTATGGCGAGGAATCAAAATTATGTTATACACTAACACAAGCACTGTTTTTTTTTTTTTTTACTATTTTTATTTTGTTAAGATACGGGTACTTTTCATTGCCTTCTCTTTGACTATCGATAAGAATTTAATCCAATTTGCCATGAAAAAATTGTTTTTTTAACATATAATAAATCCCAATGGATAAGATTAAAAATAATTGAAAATTATAAAATAATTTGAAAACCAATTAAAAATAAAAATGGGAGATACTTTATTCGGCAACAATTAGTGATCTTAAAAGATAAAAACTAAATTCATTTAGTGTTTTTCACGAGTAATTTATAATTTGAGATAAACACTAATACGAAGTAATTTAAATACTTCATTTTAATTTTGAAAAGTATAGCTTAATTAATTAGGTGTTAAGTTTCCTCTTAAAAAAATTATCACTTTAAATACCATAAAATTCATAACTACTAAAAGTTTACATAGTCATTAATTTGAAGATTTTAAAAGATTAATTAAAAAATATGTAAATTAATCCAAGGTTATATATATCTCATTTTAACAAGACTGAATTTAAAATTCACTCAAAAAGTATAAAAAAAAACCTCATTAAGAACATAATTATTAAATCTAAATAGTAATAATTTAATATCTAGTAAATGATGACAACAGATTTTTATTATTATTTTAATCTTTTCACCCAATCTGGATCATTAAATTTAAAATGACATAATTAAGAAACATGCCATGGAACTGGCCGGAGAGGGAGGCTACTTAGATGATCACAAGGACAGAGAAAGAAAGGTTTAAGACATTTTTTACTATTAATTTCCTATTTCAGAATATTATAAGGAGTCGATTAACGCTGCCAACATGCATAAACCCTCTTCTACAGAGGTGTGTTTGACATAATTTTTATTTTTCAATATTTTTTATTTTAAAAAATATTAAATTAGTATTTTTTAGTATTCTTTATTATTTTAATGTACTAATATTAAAAATTAAAAAAATTATTTTAATATATTTTTAAATTAAAAAAGCAACAAGCACTGCAATATCGTACACCCTCAAACAACCTCAAACTATCGGAGAAACTGAAGGTTCCCTAACTCCGAACATAATAGACTCGATGATGAATATTTGATTTTCCCGAGCAAGAGGGCACCATGCAGAAAACTTCAACGAGAAACATAGAAGCAAAAAGAAGGAAAGCAGGAGTCGGAAACAAAAATATGAATCTACTAGAGTCCATTTCGAGCTCGAACAAACCAACACAGTCCAACGCACCCAACCGCCAATGCTGCAATAAGAGGTGCTTGGCCATCACGGACAATCAATCTATTCCTGTTTTTTCTCACTTCCAGAGACCTCTCTCCCAGGCTGTCACGAACAAGACTGCTCAACGTATCTAACCGAATCATGACTTGACGTTGCACCCGGGCAATTCCTGATAGCTGTCCACATTGAGCAATAAATGAGATGGTTGGAAGGCACTCCTGCTAACTGGATAGTATTGATGTGTTTCAAACACATGATTAACAGAACAACTCTACAAACTTGGATGCACTAATTTTCACCTTTAAGTTGAAAGAATTTATGCAATCATTCTGTTTTCTGTTTTTACTATACTAGTGACATCCCTGTTTTTTGGATTATATTATTTGTTCCTACTTTTGTGAAGAACTAAAAAACTTTCAAACCATTGACTACAGGAACTTTTGTCGAGGATCAATAGACCTATAAGGACAAGTACATAAAATAATTATGAGATGATTTGAAAGGGTCAGCCATGGTACCTCCTCCATTAAAGGTGACTCCTTAGCCAACTGGGATGAAGACGAGGAATTGAACATTCTGGATCCATTCAAGGAAGCATTGCCTAAACCAGATACGAAGTAAGAAGCTGGCGCAGAACCATTGCACACTTCAGCTTGTAGAGCCATGTTTTGTTGGCTAGGAGAATTCTTCTTGATGGTTAGCTTGGAATTTAACTCTTCAATACATGTCGTGAACTCATCCATTCTGTCATTTAGTGAAGAAATCTGTTCTGAAAGTTGAGTTATGGCTCCCTGCGCAAGAATATATGTAGCAAGAGAAAAAATGAATAAAGTAACACAAGAAGATTTCAGTCCCACTACTACATACTACAAAAACAAGAAAACAGCTATAAAGACTTGAATTCAACAAATACAAGCTGGGAAATGAGGCATAACAGCTGAGAAACTAAAAGGAACACCTGGTTGGCTAGTGCAGCTGGTGACTCCAGATTTCTATCATCAAACCTTTTACTGGTTGCAGCAAGCCCAGTAAGCTTGGACAAGTTCTTGTCCCTTTGAGAGGAATATGAATGTGACAAGCCACTGTTTGATGTAAAATATGATCAGTCTATATCACTGCCATTTCAAATAGTACTTCAATCGCATTAAGTAAGGACAATAAAGAAGAATTAGCAATGTTACAAAATAGTTTTGGATGCAGAGAATCATAAAATATTTGAATTGGTGAAAGCACCTTTTGCCATTCTTAAGTCTCCTGGCAACTCTATCAGCAGAGGCTCGCAAAAGTGCTTCTTTGGGGCTTGAAACTAGATCCTCATCTAAGCTGAGCTTTGTCTTCAAGTCATCTGGCAAAGCCTACAGAATGATCAGATCAGGACCACTTTTGCAGGAGAAGTCATCATAGGTGTTGGATATTCACGTACCATGACCTCATTTACAAGCCTTTCTAGTTGAATCTGTTCTATATAGGTACGTGGAGTGTATGAACCTTCCAAACCTAGCTGCTCTGCAATGAATTTTACAACCAACCGATCTCTTCCTTGCACCTTTTTTTAGACAAGCAACAATGTGAGTGTTTTATAGCTCAAACAACATAATATCAACGAGATACATAAAGGACAGAAGATTGATAACATGTGTTAAGATCACTGAAATAAAACACTACATCATCACACTTAACATAAATCCAGTATTTCTATAAATACATAGAAGTTGATGACATTAACCGTCTTTGGCATTGGATAACATGGCCGTGTACACGAGCAAAATGTGCTCAATCAACAGTACATGTTGGGAGTGGAACAGAACCATTTGAAACTACCAAAAAAACTTAACTAGAAAAGAAAATTACCAGGGCAATATTGCCTTAATCTAGTTGATTTAACTTCACAGTAACGATTGTTATCATTAATGACAGATCAAAGTATTTGTCACCGTCAGTAAGTATCAGCTATGTTATAGAATTTAAATAATTTATTATTTAAGTCCTGCAGATGTTGGTGCAATTTAACATTAGTCTTTTGTATTTCTAAAACTGACAGATATAGCTGATCTTCATAATAGATCAAACTTTAGACCTCACGTAGTCTCCTTGCTGAAAGATGCTTTATAAAGACTGCCATGTTAGTTCTAAAAGCAAATGATCTAACGTTTAATTGCTTTAAAACTCAGGGTTGAAAATAATTCTCCTAAGAATTCTCAATATAATCTAAGAAAACTTTTGCATGGTAAAGCAAGAAAATTCAGAAAGTAAGGCAAACTTTGACTACAGCTGAGTGATACGTTATTTAACAATTTCATTACTGTGCTTTCAACCTTGTACATGGAGGCACCAGCTTACATACCATGTAGACGGAAAGTGAGAAATTATTTAGAAGTACCTGAACATATTGACGATTAAGTTGTCCTAACCAATCAATTTTCACACACACTCTATCATCAGAGAATATATGGCTACTTCTTTGAAGGATAGAAGCTATTGTGTATCCCAAGGCCATCAGCCCACTAAGGAGTTTAACAGTGACTTCAAAAGTGATCCTTGGTGATATGATAAATGGAACATCTGCAACCCATTCCTGAAAATAAACTATCATTAACGAAAAAGATAAATTTGTATACGTAATAAAACAACAACATGAAATCAACATACCACAGATCACCCAAACAGCCATTATAACACCAACATATTTTGTCCTACTGAGGTTGCAACAAATTTTTTGAGAAGCAATGTAAGTCTTCAGGACGTGCACATTTTTCTACAGAAGTAGATTATAGTATGCTGGATACCTGATGCATGTGCTGGACCAGGGGGCAGAAAGGTATGGCATACAAGAGACAAGTTAAATTTTTTAAGAAAAACCCAGAAACTCTTTCAAGTCAGTAAGGCTGCCCATGCTGCTCAACAACATATCTAGGCATACCCCCACTAATATTCTTTGGCCATGAGTTTGTAACATTTAAGCTACCATTTACCAATGCATGCTAGTTAATTTTGCAGACCCTTAATTAAAAGGAAGCAAACTTTCAGGACAAACCTCAAACATGAGATTGTATTTCCCATCTTTATTTCGCATCCTCAGATAAGATTGGCATGTTTCTGGATCTTCACCGGGTGGTAAAAGATATATGTCATAAATCTGCTCCATTGTCTCTTTTTGGTCTTCAGAGAGAACAGCTTTGATCTGGTCCGCAGTTACCTTTCTTGCTGACTACAATAAAAAATTACAAATACACACTCAGAAATGGATGTAAATTAAAATACAATCAGTGGAGCAACTACTGATTAGAACAATAGAACAATATGGAGAATTGAAAAATGCAAATAAAAGAGTAAATCAAAACAGATAAAAGTGAAAAACAACCTTCAATATATAAGTTGGACTTTGGAATCCAGAGAAGGGGTTGAACTTATTTATAATTTTTATATGCGCTGTTTGGAGATCTGGCTCAATAAAGGCTTTGTACATTGGATATACCTGCAAAATAGTGAAGCTTGTACTTGAAAAATCAACATCATGACAAAAAAAGGATGTTCAGAAAAGGAAAATAAATAAATATAACACAACCCTACCGTTTCAGATATCTGTTGAATTATTTCCTCTGGTTCTTGGCCAGCACGTTGGATATCCCTTAAAACCCGTTTTACAAGGTCAAAATGAACTCCCCCAGTCACAGATACTCGGAGGTCTAACAAAGGTCGCAGATTTGCACTTAGAGCATAGATTCCTTCAATAATCACTATACGAGAAGATGGTACTTCGAGAGTCCTGTTACAATTACATGCTTAAATTAGGTTAAGTTAAAGGTGCAAACTGCACGCAAGAAGTTAACAATATTAGGATTGAGGTTGATTATTTTCAGCAAACTTGTAAAAAAAACTAAATTCTGCTTGAGTTTTGCATCATCATGTTGAGCCAAGTCAAGGTTTCAGTCTTGAGTGGCCTTCACATACAAAACCTAAGATACAAACTCAATTTGATTCTTTTGTGACACTTTTAAAGTCCTGCTTTTCCATGATTACTGAGAGTTTGGCCCTTGCTACTCTTGACTCGTAAAAAGTACACCCATCTTCCAGTCAACACCATACCATTAGTGTATGATCTTTCAAATGTGGTTTCATCAATGGTATCATTTCACCAGGAGTCCCATCAATGGATGCCGCTTCAGTTTTTATTCCTTTTTTTTTTTTTTTTTTTTTTTTTTTTTTTTTTTTTTTTTTTTTTTTTTTTTTTGAGTTTTATGCAATGAAAAGGGTTTTCAAAATTGAGTTTGTGTTTTTCCCTTTTCAAAGATTCTAAATGGTTCTTGGTATTTGTTCAATTTTACGTTAATTTAACATGAATGTATCAAAGCAAGATTGCTTCTAATTTTGGGGTGAAGTGAGAAACAGTGACCAGTCATGAGGATGGAAGAGGAGATGTGGGGATATTTGGTTTTAGATGTAGGAGGATGGAGGATAGTTGTTTGGTGAAGATGATTCCAAGCAAAGATGATAAAAAACCAGTCAAGGAGAAAACAGAGTACGGTACAAAAGGTCAGGTTATATAGAGCTAAGGCTGTAAGGAGTGATAGGTACACTTTCTCATTTTTATAATAATACATAGATACTAGAAAGTATGATAACTAAAAACATTAGAATAGATCTTAACCTGTATCCTGTTCGTGTGCTAGACTTGAAATCATAGATTGGAACCTCAGCTGGTTTCCCTGACTTTAAATCATGAACATTCTTGAGCAATGTGTCATAGTCCGTCAAGCGTGGGTCTGTTGCAAAATAGCATTAGAACCAATAGTATACATATGCATGATTTTATCATAATTTCAAAATATTTGAACTTGCATGAATAACGATTCAAAATTTTGAAAACCGTGGTTACATCTTGCCATTTCAGCTTTCCACATCACAGGAAGCAAATATAAACTCACTACTCAGCAGAGACAGCTGAAATTTTAGTTAAATTTATAGCTGTACAAGATAGTCTGTCCGCGGGCATGTCTAGATTCTTTTACATGTGTCTCATGTAGCAAGGAAACTCATCCATGCATTCAAGTGGCAAGAAGAAGGTAGAAAATGAGTGGAACCTCAGAAAGACAACTAAGACTTGCAATGCATGCATAAGAACTGTAATCATGATCTCATTATCAAACTAGTAAGGGCCGAAAACTTCTATGGCCAAACTTAAGCGCAGTTATTTACCAAATTCTACCTGTGAAATAAAAATCTTCCAGTACATACTTTGAAATGAGAGAAGCGGAAATAAAACTCCAAGTTTTTTTTGACATAATGGCACTGAGAATATTCCTGTCTTCTTCAGATATAGATTATAGTTCAAAGCATGTTCTGTAACAACCTAAATAAGCAGTGAACCATCTCTCACATAGCATCCACATCTCCACACCACATAAGACAATAGAAGTGCTTTCATATCAGTAACACCATTTTGTGAAGTACTCTTCACAACCCAGTTTGTCTCAAGTTACTCAAACTTTGATACACCACATCTATACCTTGCGAGTTTAAATCAGCAGCCAAATCTCAAAGCCACATTAAGTAAGTTCTAGGTTGAAATGGCATTCATGGCTTTGAGAATGTAAAGGTATTAGAGCAGACAGACACGATTTCAGACTACAGCTAAGATTCACTGAACTGCAGAACATATTAGAGATGCCATTGGCTAATGGTGTAACCACACAGAGAGCCTAAAAAAATAAAAGTGCACAGACACCGAAACTTCAATAAAAATTCACCACCTTTTAGCACAACTGATATATACCATTTCCAGAAACCAAGAGAACATGTTCTAAAACTAAAATCAGTTGTGAATTACAACAAATCCAGGAGCAAGGTCATGGAGGAAAGTGATATACAGTTACAAATATCAATAAACCTGCAACAGCGGAAAAATTCAAGAAAAAGTGCATTCCAGAACTCTAAATCCATTGAAATCTCCATCAGTTCAATGCATCTTTAAAAAACGGATGACATAAAAATTCTCTGTTGAGCCACTGAAGCATCACAGATGCTGGAATCTAATAGAACCAGAGGTAAGGCGTTGAGTTAGGGGTATAAAGGGCTCTATATCATGGACGTATGATCAAGAAGCGTGATGTGATGTTGGCACGAGGAAGAAAATGGGATGATAAAGATAAATAAATGATAAGGGACAGGACTCAAATTTCAAAGGAGAAAGGGAAGGCAAGTTCCAAGAAAATTGGGAAAAAATCAAACTCATTAGCATCACCAACTAACAAGTTTGTCACTGTGATGTCCACAAAGACAGACTTTATGTCACTCCTCTTTGTGCTATTATCATATTACGATCCAACAGTGAGTCCAACAAAGCAAGTATTCAATCACAGAAGTACATGGGAAATAAGCCTGGGTCAGCTTTTGTGTTCAATATAATCTTAAAGAAAGCACACGATTGTTAAGCTTTTCTGCACCAACAGGACCAATTCCCTACCCTAAAAATTGGTTTCTTTAAAACCTTTTACATAGTTACAAAAATTGTCTACCATCAGTAATAAGTACACATCCATATCAAAAGTACAGTAACATTTTGCGTGCAGACTTTTTTGATAATCTGCAGTATATAATTGCTACAATCAGAGGAAACTAGAATAATTTTCTTTCCAACAAATTAACAGTGAGGTTCAATAAAAAAATTGCAAATGATCTTCTAAAATTGAAGTCGCATCTTCCATATCATATTTACCCAGACAAACTGCTTACAATACTAAATTTCCAAAGGAATGACACATGTAAAAAGCAACATTACCATCAAAATTACCATCGACAATTCGGCTTGAATCATTGTAGTTGTTCATTGATATGACAGCAACGCTGGGCAAAAAGTTGAGAATTTTTTCAGTGAAAATGGTCTTCCCAGCTCCTGAAGGGCCTGCTATACCTACCAGTATTATTCCATCATTCTTTTGTGCTAACAATTGGCAGGCACGGATAACAACAAAAAATCCCTTCTCAAATGATAGAGGATTTTGGATTGGAACTATCTCAAAGCGATCAGAGTCCTTTTTCTTAGTTGATCTGACTTGATCTTTCAAGAGTCCCAGCCGTTTTGGATGTGATTCAGCTTCAGAAGTATCTTTAGCCATAGAAAAGAATACGCTGGGTCAAACCTCTGCAAGTAAGACAAATTAGAGAATATGAATCAGAGGCAAAAATTATGGCATTAAATGGTAAAAAAACATTTCCACGCACTACAGAAGGGCAAGTTCCTAAGATATAGCATTGAAACACAGGATTTTAGTTCAAAAGGGTAAGATCATCTTTTCATACAAAAATAGTCACTTGCAAGGTATTTGATAAATAGCTATAAGTTTAGAGCACCCCTAATATAACATATATGACTTGGATACCAAAATAAAAAATCAATTAAGAACTCCAGCAAAGCAGGCTCAATTCTGAACTTCTCGTTCCACAGAAAATGACAGTTCGTTCATGAGGAAAATCCAAAAAAACGATATATTTCCATTATAACAAGTTATGATCGAATGAAAGAATAATGGAGCTATATTCAAACTTATTAAACATGACAAGTTATGAATGAATGAATAATCGATGTATATTCAAATCTATTTAAACAAAAGCAAAAATTCCATGGCCCTCTGCTACAGTAACATCGCAATTCAAATGAGTTTCTCACTAGATTACTGACACAACTCATTATTAAACAATAAGTTCACGTCCTAAAGCCAAATTACTTTTTTTCTATGAGAGAACTGCCACATTTAGCATTAGCAAAAGAAAAGGGTCGTTTTAATTCAAAGTATTCAATTTTTATGCAATGAATTTTGTCAGCACATTCTTTCTCCTGAATCACACCAAAATTTACAGCTCTAAAGATCCAAACAAAACCTTACCGGTTCCTGAAAACAAAATACAAGAATGTTGACCCAAAAACAATAACACATATCATTTAAAAACAAAAACCAAATCACTAGCAAAATCAAGATAAGAAAATCAATACAAAAAGAAATCCAAACAAGCCAAGCACCAACAAACAGGGCTAAAAACTCAGCCCCAGCAATCTTTACGGATCCACTATAACACCATCCCAAAGCAACCGCCACATGAAGGAAAAAAACAGTAGAATTTAATAAGAAAATGGGAGAGGCAGCATAACCCAGATGGCAACATGAATGAAAAAAAGTAAGAAGAGAGGACTAACCGAGTCAGAGTGAGTTTTCAGTTTTGTTGAATGGCAGTGAGGTTTCTAGCAAGCAGGGGGGGCTCAGGTCAGTCTTATGAGGTCGGTTTCTTACTATAAATAGAGCAAAAAAAAATATTTTCCTTAAAAAATAATGAGATATTTCCAGGATTTTACTTTTTAATTGTTTTATAAGATAGGGGAGTTGGGAGTTGTAGAGATTCTGGAACTTCACTCGAGAAAGACCTCTGGGGATAGAGAAAAATATAAGAGACAGAGGAGTAGGATTTTATATTACAGTATTGTGAACATATAAAGTTGGGAAAGGTTTTCAGCCGTGTTTGTTTGTGCTAAATTTTTTTGAGTTTTTTTTTTAATTTTAAGTTATTATTTTATAATTTCATGTATATTGAAGAGATTATTCAAGAGTATGGTTATATTTATTTTTTAAAATATTTTTAATATTTAAAGATATTATAATATATTTTTTTATTTTTTAAAATCGACCATTCAAAACTATTTAAATTTATTTTTTAAAATATTTTTAATATTTAAAAATATTATAATGTATTTTTTTATTTTTTAAAATCAACCATTCAAAACGATTTAAATTATATAAAAAAATAAATTTTTATAAAAAAATTTAAAAATTCAACTTATCTTGCATTTTCAGACACCTTTTCATAGGTTAATAGGTTTGGAGTCTCAGTTACTCTTCCATTTCATTTTAAATTAAAAGATAATACAAATCTAATATCCATGATAAGAATGCATTTATTTTGTTTTTTATCTGTATTTATTTATTTAGTGGGAGTCTATAAGAATAACTAATAAAATAATATTAGTTATTTTTTCAGAAGTGATCCTTGGTCCGGGGTATTGGTTCGGGTCATTTTACCAAGGAAGATTTTAGGGTTGGAGTACAATTATCGATCCCGTTGCCAGTAGCTTCGCTCGAAAAGGTCTTTAAGCTTTCCGTTTTCCTGTCTGCGTTTGGCGTCAGTGTGTGCGGTGAGCCGTGTACATGCTCCTTTTTTTAAGAGAAATTTAAGCCGTCAGATTGGATATGATGTTAATATGTAAACTGTCTTTCCTTTAATTATTAAAATTATTTATCTTTTCCCTTCATAATCGGCTGTCAGTTCTCGCAGGAACTTTTCCGCATCAAAGATGGTGTAGGTTGCGTTAGCTGGAGAAATCCACGCTGTTAGAGTCTGTGTTTTTTTTTAAGTGAACTTGAAGAATAATTAATTAATTATTCTTTAAACATCATAATAAAATTTTTAATAAGTTAAATAGGTTGTGAGATAAAAATAGTATTTTCATAATTAATTATTATGAGGTGAACATGCTTGTTATTTTGCAACGTGCTACAATTGCTATGCTATATTGTATTATTTGATGCCATGTCGTTAAATAAAAGCAGTCTTCGGTGATTAATCATCGTCTTTATAAATATCTAAAACAACTCGATGATTTCTCAGAAAAAATCCCATGTGATTGAATAAAGTGCATGTGGGTGGATAAATTGGTTTGTCGCTTGTTCTCACGAAAGGTTACGTGCTTGCGTAAAAAAAATTATGGTGTTTTAAATGATTTTTTTTTAAATAAAATTTTTGTAGATAGAAATATAATATTTTTAAATGAAAATATTTTAAAAATATATGTATAATAAAAAACGAAGATATTTAAAGTATGAAGCTTTAAGAATTTATAGAGTATTTATAATTTATAAATTTTATTTTTATAAAGATGATAAACTTCAATGTAATTTTATTATGATAATATTCAATAAAAAATAAAAAATTTATTATATAAATATTAATGCGGATAAAAATAAGATAAGATATTCAAAGATTTTTAACATATATAATAGTATAAAAAAAAATACAAAATATAACAAAGTTCTTTCTCTAAATTAGACCAAAATAATAGGACCCTCCATTGACTTGGCTCATGGCACGAGGTTCAGATATATTTCATTAAAACCGTGTATTTTTGGATCTTCAAAGTCTTCTAATTTGTTAAATTTAGGTTTATTACAACTAAATAATATTTAATTAAGTGTCATTATTATGTTTTTTTAACGTGAATTGGTTAATAAGGACTATATTGAAACATTTAAACATGTATATATTTTTTTAACATGTGAACATATTTTCCAACAGTAATTATTAAATTGAAAAAAAAAAGGTTTGCTGGTGTCACAATTCAATTAATTTTAATTCATTTGTTTTTAATTTAATTTTCAAGGGGATTAAAATTTGGAATTAAAAAGGTGCAACTTGATAATGCATAGAAGAATCAATGGCTAAAATATTTGTTTCTTGAAACAAATCACCCGGGATATTCAGTTAATTAATTTTAATTTTTAAATTTGAATCAAATTTAAATTTGAAAAGGAATGAATTGGTGTTTGTTTGGAACTGTTACGCTCCTGTACAATAAATACGTATGCCAGGATGTAAAAAGAGGGGGAGACCAGACGCGAGAGAGAGAGAGAGAGAGTGTGTCGCACAGTAACATCCCAGAATTATCATCAAACAAAGGAAAATATAGCCCCTTTCATCTCTCCCCCCTACTGTCACTAAAAGAACCAGCCGCCTTCACATAGAAAAACGACCCACCATTCTTACATTTAACCCAAAACCAGTCGTTCCTCTCCTCCTCCAACATCCGGCCACATAATTTTTTATGTTTAAAATATATTAATAATATTTTTTATTTTAAAAAATACTAAAAACATATTAATTTTAAATTTTTTTAAAAATATTTTTAAAATGTAAAAATAAACAGGCACCTAAATTTTTTTTTAAAATGTAAAAATAAACAGGCATCGATTATTTTTCTTTTAAATCATCGCAAGACAACAAGAAGAACCTTGCTTTTTTCGTTTGTTTGTTATAAGCCGAAAATCTTGGACGAATAGTGTCAAGGCCAAGAAAAAGAAAGGACACGGCATAAATCTTGATTGAACGCTAATGGATGTTTTGTTGTTTTAGCCATTGCTTTTTATCTCATCTCGATATGGTTCTTGTTGGAATAGTATTTTGGGAGGACACGTTGTCCCTTGATTCTCTATTATCAGCTGCATCGTTGGTATTTTTTAAATGATTTTCTAGAAATATATTAAAATAATATTTTTTAAAAATCATTTTTAATATCAACGCATCAAGATAATCTAATGATACAAAAAATTTTAATTTAAAAAATAAAAATTTTTAATTTTTTTAAAATATAAAAACAGGGACAAATATTCTTACTCTCATCTTAATTTGGAGGCAAAATCCCCCGTTCATCGTCTTACCTCCAAGGAATATGATTTGCCAAACTCAACAAAGCAACAACCCATTGATTTTATGCAGTAATACATGATAATGTCTCTTTTTTGTTTGTTCACGGTTCATAAAACATGGAAGTCCCTTTTTTATTTCATGATTTCTGAATTATTTTTAAGGCAGATTTTATATATTTGCGAGAAGAAAAGGGTACATTTCCTAGCCAGGATAATGTCTTTGCAAATATTTGGTACGTAGCTAGGTGTATAGGTTTGCTACTTAACTTTGCTTTTCATACGATTCGGTTAATTCATAAAGCGACACGTAACAATTCCAGTTGACTCATCGGACCTGGGAGATTCAAGGGGAGTCTTTGTCAACCATCGCATGGCCTGAGAAATTGCCACGTCTCTGCCCTTTTTCTCCCTTGACGGACTCAAAGATTACACCTACTGGCCTCGGTCTACTTAGCTGATGGCAACGTAGAGCCAGTATTCGTGACTGGATGGAATCTAATCACGAAGCATCTTAGACAAATGGACGGTGATCAACATGAAAAGGTGCCTGCCATAAGATTTCCCAAAAAACACTGTTATTATTCTTGTTAATATTTTTATTTTTTCTCATAAAAACAGGCAGAATTAAGCCCCTGCTAAGAAAATAAATCAAGACCGGAGATCTCTTTTTTTTTTTTGGAGAAGACATGCTGGTTAGTAGCAGGGGCGGAGTAGAAGTTAAAAAAAATTAAAAAGTATCAAATTAAAAGAATTATTTTAAAAAAATTAAAATTTTAGTTAATTTAGAAAAGAATTATTTTTAAAAAATTAAAATTTTAGTTAATTTAGATAGAAAGGGGTTTCCTTGCAGGGGCCGGCCCCTGCTAGCCTCCCCGCTGTCACTGGTTAGTGATATGCTAAGAAAAAAATCATAAAAAATTTTGAACAGCAATGAAGGAAATGAATGCTAGAAAAATAATTTTTTTCAAAGTTTTTATTTTATTTCATTTCTATCTAGTTACAATAAATAGTAATTTTTTATTAATTATTATTTGAGCTATATTTAAAGAAAAAAAACAAATATGACTATGAAAAAATACCTTGAATAGATGTATTCTTATTCTTTTTTTTTATATATATGTCGTGAGTTTCACCTTACTTCGCTCTCTATGTCTGTTCTCTTAAAAAGATAAATTAATAAACTAACTAACAAGATAATTACAATTGGCAGCGTCTTCGTTGGTCAGCTCGTCGTGTTTTTTAAGTTTTTGTTTTTGAGAAAAACGCCCTTGTATGGCCACGTCAGAGCACGTGTGACTTTTTTTTCCTGATCGCGTCTCCCTTAGCTGGCGGTATTCAATTGATCAAGGTAGTTCATCAATAAATAACGACTTTGACAATCGTCCACGTAAAACAATCTTTTCACTTAATTGCTTGGGCGGGTATTTATGATTGTTTTCTACGTATTTTTTTATATTATAATGTATGTTAATAATATATATTTTTTATTTTTAAAAATTATTTTTGATAACTTTAAGTAAGTTCCAGTTAAGTGACCCTATAAAAAAATTATTTTATTTCTCATAGTCTATTGAAATGTTTTTTAAAAAATCTTAAATAATATTTATTTTTCACGCGTCATAATTTTATTCTCCATATTAGCTCATTTAAATTTCAAATAATTATTATACTTTCCCATGAAAATAATTTGCTGTATCCAGATTAAGTTTTTAATGAGATTCCCCAGCTTAGTTTATTAATTATTAATTATGATAATTATCAATGAAAAATTAAATTTTAACAGGATTTCTCAACTTGGTAGATTAATTAATAATTATGAATAAGATTTGAGAAGAGAATAATGTCATTGAAGATAAAAAAAAAAAGAAAGAGATAATATATATACTTGTATATATTAAATTGAAAAGGCTACATTGTTCTATTATGTTATTATCTATTAAAATGCGTTATTAAAAACAATGTAATTTATGTTATTATGTTATTATCAATAGC